AGGTCATAATCTCATGGTTTGTGAGTTCGAGCCCCATATCAGGCTCTCTGCTATCAGCATAGAGTCTGCTTCAGATCTTCTGTTTCCCTCTCTCTCTGTCCTTACCCTGCTTGCTCATGCTCCCTCTCTCTTTCTCTATCAAAAGTAAATAAACATTTTTTTTAAATATGAGAAAAAACTGGAAAAAACACAAACACATGGAAGTTAAGCAATATCTACCAAATAACCAATGGGACAATGAAGAAATCAAAGAGAAAATTAACATGCCTGGAAACAAATGAAAATAGGACCATAATGGTTCAAAATCTTTGGGACTAAACAAAAGCAGTTCTAAAAGAGAAGTTTATAGTGAATACAGGCCTACTTCAATAAGCAAGAAAAATCTCGAATAAGTGATCTAACTGTATACCTAAAGGAACTAGAATAAGAAGAACTAAGAAAGTCCAAAGTTAGTTGAAAGAAAGAAATAATAAAGAACAGAGCATAAATAAATGACATAGAGACAATGAAAAGATCAATGAAACTAAGAGCCAGTTCTTTGAAAAGTACACAAATTGACATACCTTTAGCCATATTCATTAAGAAAGAAGAGAAGACACAAATAAATAAAGTCAGAAATGAAAGAAGGTACAACCGACACCAGAGGAATACAAAGGGTTATAAGAGAATACTATGAAAAACTGTAAGCCATCAAATTGGACAACTTAGAAGAAATGGATAAATTCCTAGAAATATGCAATTTTCTAAGACCGAATCAGGAAGAAAAAGAAAAATCTAAAGACTGGTTATGAGTAACAAAATTGAATTAGTAATCAAAACCCTCCCAAAGGCAAAAATCTAGAACCAGGTGGCTTCACAGGTGACTTCTACCAAACATTTAAAGAAGAGTTAATATCTATACTTCTAAAACTATTCCAAAAAATATAATAGGAAGGAACATTTCCAAATTCATTTTATGAAGCCAGCATTACAATGCTACTGAAACCAGACAAAGACTTCACAAAAAAGAGAATTACAGACTAATATCCCTGATGAATATAGTTGCAAATCCTCAACAAAAATATTAGCAAACTGAATTCAACAGTATGTTAAAAGGATTGAGTAGGATTTATTCCAGGGATGCAAGGATGATTCAATATCTGCAAATAAATCAATGCGATGCACCCCATTAACAAAATGAACCATAAAAATCATATGGTCAACTCAATAGATGCAAAAAGCATTTGACACAATTCAGCATTCATTCATGATAAAAACTCTCAAAAAAGTGGGTTTAGAGAGAACATACTTCAATTTAATAAAGGCCATATATGACAAAAATACAGCTAACATCATATTCACTGATAAAAAGCTGAAAACTTTTCCCAAGATGAGGAACAAGACAAGAGTGTCCATTCTTACCTCTTTTATTAAACATAGTATTGGAAGTCTTAGCCACAACAGACAAGAAAAAGGAATAAAAGGCATCCAAATTGGTAAGAAAGAAGTCAAATGGTCACTATTTGCAGATGACATGATACTTACTACATATGCCTAAAGACTCCACCAAAAAACTATTAGCACAAATTAATGAATTCAGTGAAGTCGCAGGATAGGAAATTAATATACAGACCCTGTTGTGTTTCTATATGCTAATAACAAAATACCAGAAAAAGAAATTGAGAAAAATATTCATTCAGAACTACATTAAAAAGAAAATGAAACCACAAAAAAAACCAAATAGCCATAGCAACCTTAAGAAAGAATAAAACTGAAAGTATCATAATCCCATGTTTCAAACTATACTACAAATTTATAATAATCAGAACTGTATGGTACTTGCAAAAAAATAGATACAAAGATGAGTAAAACAGAATAGAGAGTCAGAAATAAACCCATGCTTACATGGTGAATTAATTTATAAAAAAGGAGGCAAGAAACAATAGTCTCTTCAGTAACCGGTGCTGGGAAAACTGGACACCCACATGCAAAAGAATGAAACTAGAACACATTCACACACCATACACAAACAGAAAATTAAAATGAATTAAAGACCTAAATGTAAGACCTGAAATCATAAAACTACTAAAAGAAGACACAGGTAGTAACCTCTTAGACATCCTCCTTAGCAATATTTTTCTGTATTTGTCTCCTCAGACAAAGGAAACAAAAGCACAAATAAACGATCAGAACCATATCAAACTAAAAAGCTTTTCTACAGCAAATGAAACTATCAAGAAAAGGAAAAGGCAACTTACTGAATGGGAGAGATATTTGCAAGTGATATATATGATAAAAGATTAATATCCAAAATTATATAAAGAACTAATAACAACTCAACACCAAAAAATCAAACAATTCAATTAAAAATGGACAGAAGACCTGAATAGACATTTTCCCAAAGGCATACAGATGGCCAGCAGACACATGAAAAGATGCTCAACATCACTAACCATCAAGGAAATGCAAATCAAAACCATAATGAAATGTCACCACATACCTTTCAGAATGACTAGTATCAAAAACACAAGAAATAACAAGTGTTGGTGAGGATGTAGAGAAAAGGGAATCCTTGTGTACTGTTGGTAAATGTAGCTTGGTGCAGCCACCATGGAAAGCAGTATGGAGGTTCCTCAAAAAATTAAAAATAGAAATACTATATGATCCAGTAATTCAACTTCTGGGCTTTCCCCCAGGAAAACAAAAACACTAATTCAAAAAGATATGTGCACTCCTCTTGGTATGAGCACTGGGTGTTGTATGTAAGTGATGAATCACAGGAATCCATCCCAAAAATGAAGAGCACACTGTATACACTGCATGTTACCTAACTTGACAATAAATTATGTTAAAAAAATAATAATAATAAAACTAGGAAATGAGAAAAAAAAGACATGTTTACTGCAGCATTATTTATAATAGCCAAGATATGGAAGCAACCTGAGTGTCCATTGATAGATGAATGAATAAAGAATACGTATGTATTTATATATATAAATGAATAAAGAATACACACACAATGGAATATTAACTGTAAAAAGAGTGAAATCTTGTCATTTGTGACAACATGGATGGCATTACTCTAAGTGAAATAAGTCAGACAGAAATACCACATGATTTCACTTACACGTGGAATCTAAAAAACAAAATGAATGAACAAACACAGACTCATAAATACAGAGAACAAACTGGTGGCTGTAGGAATGGGGGGATGTGGGCAAAAGAGGTGAAGGACTTAAGGGATACAGACCTCCAGTTATAAAATAAGTGGTCATGGGAATGCAAAGTACAGCATAGGGAATATAGTCAATAATATTATAAGAACTCTGTATAGTGACAGATGGTAACTACATTTATCATGGGGAGCATTTAGTAATGAAAATAATTATTACCCTATGTTTATTGCAGCATTATATACAATAGCCAAACTATGGAAGCAGCCCACATCCATTGATAGATGAATGGGTAAAGTATTTTTACACAGTGGAATATTATTCAGCGATAAAAATGAATGAACTCTTGCCATTTGCAGTGATATGGATGGAGCTAGAGAGTATAATGCTATGGGAAATCAGTCAGAGAAAGACAAATACCATATGATTTCACTCATATGTGGAATGTAAGAAAGAAAACAAACAGGGAAAAAAAAGAGTGAGAGAAAGAAACCAAGAAACAGACTCTTAAGTATAGAGAACAAACTGATGGTTACCAGAGAGGAGGTAGATACGAAGATGGGTTAAAAAGGGGATAGGGATTAAAGATTATACTGGCTGTGATAAGCATCAAGTAATATATGGAAATGTTGAATCACTACATTGTACTACTGCATGGTAACTATATTTGAATTTAAAAACTTAATTAAAAAATAATTGTTCAATCACTATGCTGCACACCTGCAACTAAGATAATATTGTATGTCAGCCATACTTCAAATTTAAAAAATAACAAAAACAAAACCAAACAAAAAACCATTACCAACCCCCAGAAGGTCCCTCCAATCATTGCTTCTTTGTCTCCAAGAGGAGCCATTATCTTGACTTCTGACAGTATTAATGTGCTTCGTATAAATGGAGTCATACATCATAAAAAGAAATGTAGCTATTCTTTAAGACCCAGCACAAAAGATGCTGTTCCTGAAAGCCCTTTCTCAGTTTCCCAGTTGGTATTACTAAGTTCTTCTTTTGTTTTAGCATTTTGATTATATAAATGTGTAATTAATACAGTATTTTCATATAATCTATTATAGTTAAGTGGTGCTATAGTTTGGGGCATTTTAGGCAAAAACTTTTAAAGATTTTTTTGCGAGAGCACCTGGGTGGCTCAGTTGGCTGAGCGTCGGACTTGATTTCAGCTCAGGTGATGATCTCAAGGTCTGTGAGCTAAAGCCCGACGTTGGGATCTGGTGCTGACAGTGCAGAGCCTGCTTAGGATTCTCTCTCTCTCTATCTCTGCCCCTCCCCTGCTCTCTCTCTCAAAAATAAATAAATAAACTTTAAAAATTAAGGGCTTTTTGGGGAAGATTCTATGTATTTATTTAAGTAAATTCTACGTATAGGGCTTGAACCCATGACCCCAAGATCAAGAGTTGCATGCTCTACCAACTGAGCCAGCCAGGCACCCCCAGGCAAAAACTTTTTACCAAAAATGCCTTATGCTCAATACAACTTTTTGTTTATTTGTTTTTAAACTTACAATATAAGAACAGGATAAAGTCTCCGTCAAAGTTAAAGGTTTCTCAGAAAGGGCATTGTAGAATAGCAATGATCGCTTCCTTCTGTTAAGAGGTACCTTATTAGAAGCTTCATGAGGTATCCAAATTCCCAAAGTCAAAACAAGTATGACCAATAAAGTAAGACAATAAACAGACTTCACTCAGAAGAGAAGGGAATCTAAGAACATCTAAAATCCAAGTGTTTTAGTAATAATAGCACTTCTTAAATTTATGAAAATAAAAATCAAAGTTTCCATTAAACTCAAAATACCTTAGGTTGTACACCACATATTTATTTACTATCACTTACTTGTATGTTTTGGTATAATCAAGCCATAAGCCACAAAGAATAGAGCCCACCATTCCAGCCACTACCAATGTTAGCCCAATCTTTCCAGCATTCACTTCTTCTCCCTTAAAAAAATTTTCATAAGAAGTTAATCAGATACTTCTGCAATGGATCAAGAAGATGTGGTATATATATACACAATGGAATACTACTCAGCAATCAAAAAGAGTGACATCTTGTCATTTGCAACAATGTGGATGGAACTAGAGTGTGTTATGCTAAGCAAAATAAGTCAGAGAAAAAGAAACATCATGATTTCATTCATATGTGGAATTTAAGAAACAAAAGAGATGAACATAGGGGAAAGGAAGGAAAAATAAGATAAAAACTGAGAGGGAGGCAAACCATAGACTCTTAAATACAGAAAACAAATTGAGGGTTTTTGCTAGAGGGGAGGTGAGTGGGAAGATGGGCTAAATGGGTGATAGGCATTATTGAGGGCACTTGTTGGGATGAGCACTGGGTGCTATATATGAGTGATGAATCACAGGGTTCTGCTCCTGAAACCAATACTACACTGTATGTTAACTAATTTGAATTTAAATAAATTAATAAAAAAAACAAAAATCAAGAGAAGTTAATCAGATACTTCAAATAGATCTTTCACATTCCCATACACTTCACAGTCAATGGAAATAAAGTTCTGCATAGAATATAGTGGGAAATTTGGTATATCCGTTAGGGTAAGTGGTTTAGGGGGCAGGAAATGAACATATGAAGGACACTCTATTTTTGAACCAGAAAAAAAAAGAAAACCTAAAATGTGGGGAAAACCAAAAGAAATTTTTCTCATTCTTCCATGGTTAGAAAATGCGATGATCTTTGTTAGAATTCACAGAAGTCTGAGGAGATAAATGTTTTTATATATTACAACTGCCTTCTCCTTTCAAAAGCAAAGAGAGGTCACAGCTTGATATTTACTTCTTTATTTATTTATTTAAATTTTTTTTTAATGTTTATTTATTTTTGAGACAGAGAGAGAGACAGAGCATGAGCAAGGGAGAGGCAGCGAGAAAGGGAGACACAGAATCTGAAGCAGGCTCCAGGTTCTGAGCTGTCAGCACAGAGCCCCGATATGGGGCTCAAACCTATGAACTGTGAGATCATGACCTGAGCATAAGTCGGACGCTCAACTGACTGAGCCACCCAGGCGCCCCAATATTTACTTCTTTGTATTTGGATTGGTCTCCTTTAAAATTATTTCTTTGTCTCTTCCCATATAACCAGTCACAATTTTTTTAAGAAGTACTGGGGCATCTGAGTGGCTCAATTGATAAAGCATCTGACTTCAGCTCAGGTCATGATCTTGAGATCGGAGGGTTCGAGCTCCACATCAGGCTCTGTATTGACAGCTCAGAGCTGGAAGCCTGCTTCAGATTCTGTGTCTCTCTCTCTTTGCTCCTCCCCTGCTCATGCTCATGCTCATGCTCTGTCTCTCTCTCACTCAAAAATTTTAAAAAAGCATTAAAAAAAGTATTAAAAAAAGACTTACTTATTATCACAGCAATAATAACTTCTGCTTTCCATTTTGTGTGCTTTATCAATTAGATTAAATGTATTCTCAATTAAAACAAATATAAATCTTTTAAAGCAATAAGGTCATAAACTTTTTTTTAAGATTTTATTTTTACGTAATCCCTATAGCCTATGTGGGGCACGAACCTACATCCTGGAGATCAAGATTCGCACACTTCATCAACTGAGCCAGCCGGTTACCCTATAAACCTTTAATCTTATGATCATGCTAACAGGAATTACACTGCTTATGAAACATTCTTGGCCAGGCCTGTGTTGTGACACAGTAGAGACAGACACTTACCTTATAATATGTCAGTATCATTTGATTCAATAATGTTGAGACTGAATAAAATGCTCCAGTCATGATACCTACAATAACAAATAGAAAATTATAAATGCACTATTTACTAGCTCGTCATGTGATATGGAGTGCACTCTGTGAGAGTTGTGAAAATATCATGTGTTTCCTAGCTGACAGAAAACTAAAAACTCTTGCCATTCCCTTTCAAGATATGGAGTGATCAATTTAACACCTAAACTTACTAGAGATTACAATGGTAAAATTCTGTCATTACACCATGTATTATTATTAAGACTCAGATATGCCACCCATAAATCCCGTCTCCATGCATAGCCATCAAGCATGGAATGGACTGTTTACTGAGCACCTACAATGTACTTGAGCTAATGAATGTTCAAACATAAGACAGAATCCCTACTTCAGAGATCTCACCCCTGCATCAAAGACTTCAAGCCAGTTAGTAAAATAATATTAATTACAGATTATTTAAAAAGGGAAAAATAAAAACAGCTGGTTATCAGGGAGCAAAGGACTACATTTGAATCCTGATGATTCCTGACATATGGCATGACTTTAGGTAAGCCTCTAATCTAGCAAGACATAAGTTTATTATTTCTTTCTCTTTGTTATTAAATATTTCAAGCATAGAAAATAGTGCAGATAGTAAGTTAACAAATATCCTTACTCATCACCCAGCTTCGTAAACCATTAACATTTTGTCATCTTTCCTTGATCTTCTCCAATCCTGTTCTTCTCGACTATCCTTTCTCAGAGGTAATTCCTATCCTGATGTTAGTGCTTATCATTTTAGATATTAGAATATATGTGTGTCCATAAATAACAATTAGAATTACTCTGCACATATTTGAACTTTATATAAGTAATATATTATCTGTACCCATCTGCAGCTTGCTCTTCACTCAATATTATGTTTTTGAGATTTACCTGAGCCAATTAAAATCTGGTTCATTCATTTTCTCTACTATTTAATAGTCCGTTATGTGAAAAACACTTCAATTTAATTATCTCTGGTAAAGTCAATAGACACTTGAGGCTTTTTCCAGTTTTTCACTATTTAAAATTATATTGCAATGCATATTGTGTTCTTATGATTACATATAAGGATTTCTCTGAGTCTATATTTAGGAGTAAAATGTCTATTTTCTGGATAGAGCCAAATTGCTCTTCCAAACACTTTTATCAGTTTATACTACTAGCAGAGTTCTTTTACTCCATATTCTTGTCATATTTGTTTTCTCCAGATTAAAAAATATTTATTTTTCGCCAATTTGAATGCATGTGATATTATTTCTTAACTCTGGTTTTGATTTGCATTTCCTTGATAAGTGATAAGGTTTAGCATCATACATGAGCAATACACAAACACATAAATGCCTTCTGGTTTCCTTAAAGTGTTTGTTCTCTTCTTTCTGAGTAGTATGAGCTATTTTTACATCATAGATACTAATCCTTTGTTGGTTATATGCACCACAGATACTTTTTCATGCTTTATGTCTTGTCTTTTCACTTTTTTTAATGTCTTTTTATTTTACTTCATTTTTTCTAATGTTTACTTATTTTTGAGAGAGAGAGAAAGAGAGAGAGAGCAGGGGAAGGGCAGAGAGAGAGGGAGACACAGAATCTGAAGCAGGCTCCAGGCTCTGAGCTGTCAGCACTGAGCCCAGTGCGGGGCTTGAAATCATGAACCACAAGATTGCGACCTGAGCCGACATCGGATGCTCAATAGATTGAGTCACCTGGACCCCCCTATGATGTCTTTTTAGAAAAGACCATTATCTTAATATAATCATACTTATCAATCTTTCCTTAGGGTTTATGTTTTATTATTTTTAATTTAATTTTTAAAAATTTATTATTTTATTTTATTTTTTAATGTTTATTTTTGTGATAGAGAGCATTGCATGAGTGGAGGAGGGGCAGAGAGAGAGGGAGACATAGAATCTGGAGCAAGCTTCAGGCTCTGAGCTATCAGCACAGAGGCTGACATGGCGCTCGAACCTACAAACTGTGAAATCATGAGCTAAGTCAAAGTTGGGCACTTAACTGACTGAGCCATCCAGGAGTCCCATTTATTTTTTTTATTTTAGAGACAGAGTGTGTAACTAGGTGAGAGGGGCAGAGGGAGGGAGGGGGAGAGAGAGAGAGAGAGAGAGAGAGAGAGAGAGAATCTTAAGAAGGCTCTATGCTCAGCTCAGAGCCCAACATGCAGCTTGATCCCACAAGCCTGGAATCATGACCTGAGCTGAAATCAAGAGTCAGATTTCTAACTGACTGAGCTGCCCTGATGCCCCAAGATTTTATTTTTAAGCAGTCTTTACATCCAGTGTGGTACTTGAAACTCACAACCCCGAGATCAAAAGTTGCATGCTCTATGAGCCAGCCAGATGTCCTTGTGTTTTTTTACATGAGAAATTCTTTTAAGAATACTAAAGCCACCTTCCTATATGTACTTCTAAAACTTTAAAGTTCTAATTTTTACCCTTTGGTCTTTAATCCACTACAATTCATTTTTGTTCATGGTTTGATATAAAGAGCTAATTTGACTTTATTACTCAATTATCTCAGGACAATTTGCTGCATAGTTTCTTTTGTACCAAACATCTAGTTTTCATATATGCATGTTCTAGTCATTGGAGCTGATTGCAAATACAGCAGTCCCCTCCTGTCTGCAGGGAATTTGTCCCAAGTCCCCCAGTGGATCCCGGAAACTGCAGAGGGCGCCAACCCTAGGTATACTAGGTTTTTTTCCTATACATCCATCCATCCCTATGATAAAGTTTAATTTATAAATTGGCAGAGTCAGAGATTAACAACAATAACTCATAATAAAATAGAATGATTACAACAATATACTGTAATAGAAGTTATGTGAATGTGGTCTCTCTCAAAATCTTATTGTACTGTATTCATCTTCTTAGTGTGCTGTTGTGAGGTGACAAAGTGCCTCACAACGATGGGATGAAGTGAGGTGAATGACACGATGTGATGTACTGTCAGGCTACCGCTGAGTTTCTGTGGATAGGTCAGGAGTTGCACCTGCTTCCTGATTGCAGCTGAACGCGGGTAACTGAAACCACAGAAAAGGAAACTAGGCATAAGGGAGGATCACTGTATAGTAGTTTTTTTCCTTCCAGTCCCTAGTGGTATGGCTGTATGACTTTAAGTGTGAGCAAGAGTGACATTTCCCATTTGCTGCCCTAGTAATCACAATAGCCTGTGCCCAGTCGTCACCCTGGATCCCTGAATTAACTGACAAGCAGAACCCTGCTGCCCATTCCCAGTGAACGTGTAGCATTGGCGATAAATAAGTTTTTGATGTGTTAGGCCACTGACATTTTTTGGCAGAATTTCATTGCTACAATACAACCTAGCCTGCAAACATACACAGGGGTAGGTCGCTGGCATCTCCTCTCTGTGCCAGTAACCTAACAGTCTATCCCTTGATTATATATGGCATCTTAATAATCATTGTTTTATACATCCTGAGAGAATGTGTCCCTCACCTCAGTCTTCATCGAAATTATCTTTGTTCTTGGCCCTAACTTCTCTCACAGCCAATTTCAGAAGTAGTTAAGTTCCATTACAAACCCTGTTTATACGGAAGATTGCAGGATGAGACCTAGAGTTGTGTAAAGATTGTATCGAACCCTGAATAACTGGCTCATGTTGCTCATGTCCCATTGAGTTCAGGAAAATACAGAGACCCAGCTAGGTTAGCCTGAGGAGGCCAAGGAAAACAGTTCCTCTTAGTTTCAGATAGCAAGTAGCAATAGTTGGCAGAGTAAAGGATACTATTTTCTCCAAATAGCACTACCTCAAAAAAAAAAAAAGTTATCTTGGACTATCTGGTTCCTAAGTTTTGGACACTGTATACAGTCCTAAAAACCTGTCCCAGGAGTATAGTCCCCATCTAGATCATCCCATGTGCAACTCTGCTCCAACTTTCAATGTACAATACTAGGCATGGAGGGAGACCATGTACCGCCCAAAGGTGTGATGTGATTCACTCAGTCAAAATTATATCCCTAAATCTGTGCCCCTTTGGTGAAGACTATGAGATCAAGAAAGTTTCCCCATTGTCCTAGAGAATATTATCAAACTCTCCAGAGTATTTCCCAATCCCTTCTTTCTAATTCCATCAACAAGCAAATTCTGTTTAATGTCCCACTTAGTGCCTGTATCTTGCTTTTCTGTCAATCCAAATCTGCAACTGTCATTTATTAATACAATGGGTCTGTAACGTTAATTGCCATCACTATACTCTCGGGTCTTCCATAAACATAGCTCTTCGTTTAATTTACATCTTCTCTTGTCTTTAATGTGTTCTAATTTTCTAATTTATAAAGTTCTTTTGTTAGATTTATTCCTAGTCATCTTAAAGTGTTCGTTGGTTTTATAAAAATATCTTTTTATAGGAATACAATTCTTCTCTGGGTGCCTGGGTGGCTCAGTCAGTTAAGCATCCAAATCCTGATGTGGGCTCAGGTCATGAGCTCATGGTTTGTGGGATCGAGCCTCAGGTTGGGCTCCAGCTGAGTGTGGAGCCTGCTTGGGGTTCTCTCTTGCTCTCTGCCCCTCCACCCCACAAAATAAAGAAATACGCATCTTTTTAAAAAGGAATACAATTCCTATAAATACATAGGAATATAGTTGACATTTTCATACTGTCAGATTATCAGTAATCTTGTTGAACTCATTCTTATTAGTTTTAATAGTTATCTGCAGGTTCTCTTGCATTATTTTCATAGATCAGGAGGTCAGTAAACATTTTCTGTAAAGGACCAGACAGTAAGTTCTTCACTTTGCAGGAGCTAGGGTCTCGATGAGACTACTCAATGCTGCCCTTGCAGCTCAAAAGCAGCAAAGAAAACTTGTAAACAAATAAAACTTTATTCTTTATTTATAAAAACAGGCAACAGAGTTGACTTATAGGCCACAGTTTGATGACCTCTGCTGTATATAATCATATTATCTGTGAATACTAGCATCTTTTTTCTTTCCAACTCATCTCCTTTTAAATTTTGTGTTAGCCAGTCAGAACCTCCAGTTGGATAACGAATAGAAGTGATGACACAGATGGGGCGCCTGGGTGGCTTAGTCGGTTAAGCATCCGACTTTCGCTTAGGTCATGATCTCGCAGTTCATGGGTTCGAGCCCCGCATCGGGCTCTGTGCTCACTGCCAGCTCAGAGCCTGGAGCCTGTTTCAGTCTGTGACTCCCTCTCTCTCTGACCCTCCCCTGCTCACGCTGTCTCTCTCTCTCTCTCCTAGAAATAATAATAAAAAAAATAATAAAAAAAAGTGATGACATAGACATCCTTGTTTTAAAGGATACTTCTGCTCCTAAGGTTCTGCCTTTAGAATGATGTTTGCTAGAGAGTTTTTGTAGATAAATTTGATCAGATTCATAAAGTTCATTTTTCTTTGCAGTTTCCTAAGGCTTTAATAAGTGCGTATTGAATACTATCAAATGCTTTCCCCTCAGCTATTGGGCAAATTTTCCTCTTTGATCTATTACTGTGATAAATTATATTCATATATTTCTAGTGCTAAATCAGTTTTGTACAAAACCATTTCTTAAGCCAAACTCGGCTACTATGTATTGTCATTTGTATAAATTGCTAAAGTAGCTTTGCTAATATTTTGTTTTGCATTTTTACATCTTGTTCATAAGTGAAATTGACCTGTAATTCTTTTCTTGCACTGTTCCTGTCTGATTTCGATATCAAGGTTATACCAGCCTCACAAGGAAGCAGATGATACCAGTGATTGCCTCCAGGGAAGGGAACTCCCTGGAGACAGAGAGGTAACCTGGGGACAGAGATGGGGAAAGACTGGTTTTTCATTGTATGCCCTTTGTACCTTCTAAATTTTATACTATGTACACTATGCATCCTTTGTAAACTACTAAATTTTGTACAATTATATAAAATTTAGAATTGAGAAAAGAGAACTCCAATTCTTCATTTTTAAAATACGTATAATAATATTTCTATCTCAAAAAAGTTATATGAAATAATACATATGGAAGTCCTTTATAAATTAAAAACAAAAACAAAAAAAATTCCCTTTATCACTTATGTATAATCAAGGAAGCACTAACTGATGTGTTATAAAAGAAATGACTCTTAAACTGTTGTTCACTTTTTAGATGTTTATATCATGCCCCTAGTTGGATTCTAATTTCTTCACGGAAGAAATCACATATCATGCTTCTTTCTACCACACAGTATCTAGCGCACTACTGTACATTTAGTTAATGTTTGATAATTACTGATGGAATAAACAAATAAATGAATGAGTAACAAAATGAACAGTAAGTGAGGCCAACATTAAGTTGGCTCTCGTAGGATCACTTCAGGGAGAAAAGGAGCACATACCACGTAAAATAAGGGCACAAATTTACAGAGACTAGAATTAATAGCATATATGCACGTGGAGACATGTTTGTATATGTGAGTGTGTGTCTGAGACAAGGGGCTGGTTATAAATGGACTGAAAGAAAGTTTTATCTTGGGAAATAGTGAGAGATAAAAGAAGGTAGGAATCTTTCTTCCTTAAATGATAGGCTACAGAAATGAATTTACTCTTATAGATATTAATGACCCACTGTTTTCTCTACTTCCCAGTTATGTGTTTTAGGGTTAAGCTAACCAGCAGAAGTAACCAACAAAATTAAGAAAAGGAACTACAGCATGTTAAAGTATTTAATGCTGGTATGACATAAGATCAGGAGATCTGCTTAAAAAATATTCCAGGAAAAAAATATTCCAGGAAAAAAGTAGAGGAAGGAAATAAAGCAATAATGGTGAAGGGCTGATCATTGAAGCTGGGTACTGATAGGTACATAGGGAATCACCATATTAAATCCTGTACTTTGGTGTTCAACAATGTGCACTAAAAAAAAAAGAAAAAGAAAAGAAAAGAAAAGAAAAAAAAAGATGAAGTAATCCTGGTAAAAGGGTGAGTTTAGGTAAGGGCATAATTTGTTACAACATGTAAAGAGTTATGTACTCGGGTGTGCACTCCCAAAAAGATGTAAAGAAGAGAACAGCAGTGAGTGACTTCTGAAGACAAGTAAGACAGAAATAGGGGGTGTTGGTAAGAGACTTTTAAATACAGAGAACAAACTGAGGGTTGATGGGGGTGGGGGAGGGGGAAACTGGGTGATGGGCATTGACGAGGGCACTTGTTGGGATGAGCACTGGGTGTTGTGTTAAGTGATGAACCTCGGGAATCTACTCCCAAAACTGACAGCATACTGTACACACTGTATATTACCCAATTTGACAATAAATTACATTAAAAGAAAGAAATAAAGAAAGAAAGAAATAGGGGGTGTTGGCAGTTGATACAAACAGTGTTAATATCCTTTGAAAAACAAAGGATAAACTGAGTTGAAAAACTGAGCCTGGGTGGCTTAGTCAGTTAAGCATTCCACTCTGGCTCAGGTCATGAAATCATAGCTCATGAGTTCAAGCCCTGGGGTGGGCTCTGTACTGACAGCTCAGAGTCTGGAGCTTGCTTAGGATTCTGTGTCTTCCTCTCACTCTGCCCCTCCACCGCTCACACTCTGTCTTTCTCTCCTTCAAAAATAAACATTAAAAAAATTTTTCTTTAAGAAAAACAAAGAATGAACTGTCAGCAAACTCTGAAGGGAACCAAATTTGTTGGTGCCTACAGTCAAAGCCACAGTGTCAGCTGTTCTGAAATATCTAGAAGGATGAGATTTTTTTTCAAGTTAAAACTGATTAAAGTCATCGCATTAATGTCTTGTCCTGATTGGGTAGTTAAAATAGAGGCCACTTTGTACAGGGTCAGAGAAAGGAATTGTTGATGACATTTCCCATATGCTTACAGTAGTTTATAAAGGACTTAAAATACTCTGTGAAAACTCAAAAAAGAAGACAGTGTTTGTCTATTTGAGATCTGTTATTTTTTTTATTTTAAAAACATGTAAGAAAATCCATCCTGAAGTTTTCACTTTTAGTTCAAAATTTAAGTTTATGACTGTGCAGTCATTATTTTTACAGTTAACAAACCTATCTCATTAAAGCTCAAGCCACTACATTAAATGAAAAGAATCTATAATGCTCAAAGGCTTACAGAGACATCAGAGAAAATAAAAGAAAACCACTTACCATAAGTGATCAATAGAAGGACAAAAGGAACGTTTCTAAATAGGTTCCTTATTGATTTCTTATAGGAGTAGTCAGCAGGGGGGTTTTTTTGAAGAGCTGCTTGAGCCTTACTTGGTGGATACTGAGGTTTTTCTTTGAATGCTGGAAACAGACATGAAAAGGAAATTAAATACATACATTTAGTGAATGGACTAAATCAGTTTAAGTTTAAAGAGGTAGTGAGAGGGGCACCTGGGTGGCTCAGTCGGTTAAGCGTCCGACTTCGGCTCAGGTCAGATCTCACGGTTTGTGGGTTTGAGCCCCACATCAGGCTCTGTGCTGACAGCTCAGAGCCTGGAGCCTGTTTCGGATTCTTTGTCTCCCTCTCTCTCTGCCCCTCCCCCACTCATGCTCTGTCTCTCTCTGTTTCAAAATTAAATAAACTATTAAAAAAAAAAAAAAGAGGTAGCAAGAGTCTGACAGTGAAGCTTTCACTTTCATTAATTTTTAAGTGAAGAATATCCACCTGGTCCCCTGAAACTGACTACAACTCAGGGATTTGGCCAGGTCACATGACTTAACTGCAAAACCTTCAATAATACTCCACAACCTTGCCCACCGATTATTCCTTTTCAGTTAAGCAAGATTAATGTTTATTATAGTAAGTATTCAACAATTCCATTCCTAAATTTAGTGCAATTTGTAATTAGAGGTAACATCAGATATGAGCAAAGCAATATGTTTTTGAACTCTTAAGATTATCTTGAGTTAGTTAACTATTTCCTTTTAAGTTTTGAGGCAAACTTTATCAACTGATCTAACTATACCTCCAGAATTGAAAAAGGTCATGGTGGATTCATGGGAGCAGAGCTCACCAAAACGTCAAGTAATTACGATATACTGAAAACTTATCAAACTAAAACAGACTTCTATTTTTACAGGTGTCACAACTAATTCAAGAGGAGACATATTCATGAATATTCACTGTTTAATGTCCTTACATCGGAGGACTGGTAGACATAAAATGTTTAAGTTGTTGCAATCCCTCCTCTTCCGTTCACCCTATCTGCTCCTTGCACTGTGGAGGGCGTCTGTTGTCCTTTCCTGAAAGTCTCTTTGTGTCCTAGTTAAGATAGGAGATATCTCTTTTCATTAGTATTGGTAACACACAACTCACACAGTTGTAAAACAAAGCTTCAGAATGTAAACACCATGCTTACAAGGTAGTCACAGGGATCGGAGATCGAGTGAGTCTTAAGTCTCTTACTCAGGTCTTTATTTTTATTTATCTGGCAAAATAAGTATAAAAGGCTCAGATTTGAACTCCAATTCAAAATGAAGACAATTCTTGTTAATCTTCAACTCCACTAAATTTATTTCCTGAATACACGTGTTATCTTTTAGTTTTAGGTAATTAACTGCCCTGTTGGACAAAATCAGGCCTGTATCAGCTACACAATACACTACAGTCAGGTTTAATTCTATAGGAAGCAAAGGAAACAGGAACAGAAAACCACTGGTCTCTGCCCCTGTTTACTCAGCACTGCTTCTTTCAAATGATGAAATATGACTTTTTCCTTCTCCTTTGAAAACTGAAAAGCAATAGTCTTCTGCTTTCTTCTCTCCACCAAAAATGTGCACCATTAAAATGATTAACTATCGGGGCATTTAGCTGACTCAGTTGGTAGAGCATGTGATTCTTGATCTTAGGGTCGTGAGTTCAAGCCCCACACTAGGCACAGAACTTATATAATAATAATAATAATAATTAATAATAATAATAATAATAATAATAAACAACTATTAAAGCAGTTATTCTCCAAAGTAGCCAAAGGATTTTGGGGTACCACATTCAAACTTTTTCTCCCATGATGAATAAGTATATCTTTTCTGTTTAGGACTACTTCTGCTTTTTGAAATTAGGTAATAACATTACCTTCTGATTTCATTATTTGTCCTTGTATGATTCAAGCAGACATTACACATATTAACTTATTATAAGACACATAAAGACTTGAATACTGTCTCTGCCTTATATCTTTGTATAACTCTGAAGAAGTCAATTCCTGTCTCTCAACTATAGCTTTCTCATTCATAAAATGGAAATAACAACAAGCTGTTAGGAGAACTATATAACATTTGCAAAATGATTTTGTAATTATTGAATGCTACACAAAATACATTGTCTTTTTGAGGAATATATATTTTTAAGAAGTCAGAGACTATCTCAGGGGCTTGAAATTCTTATAGCCTCAGTAAAACATATTTCTGTTAAAAGTTTAACAGAAACTATATAACAGCAGCCTACATATAAATATCCTGAATATAAGAATCAAAAGTAAAATTAGACAGACATGTTATTTATTGATGTGTTTAAGTACCTTAACATTAAATATTTTGATTGCCATTACTTTTGGTTTTTCTCATCCACTCATGTTAGTGAATCTGGATGGTAAGCTTTAATACACACACTTGAGTTAGTGATATAGTTTACCTCTCTGCTGCCCAGAACAGCCTTCAAATACAACAGCCTCACCACTTATATAGGAAGAATTTGAAGTGGAGCAAAAACAAAACTAAATAAAAATTAAAATGACCTATTTTTATATATAACATTTTAAATATGAACTTAGGGTACCTAGGTGCAAATTCACCTTCAGTATTTACTATGACCATGGACAGATTAGATCCACTTACATTCTGTGCCTCACTTTCCTCATCTATAAAATGGGAATGATAATAGTACTGTCCACAAATGGCTATGAGGACTGAAGGATACAGCAAGTAATGTGCCTTTAAACACGTTCGGTACATACCAAACAACCAAATGTTAGAGACTATAATCATGTGGGGTGTGTGAAGAATGAGGTATTAGTGTGCAATTCAGTGGAAGGCGTGGGTTAATTCCTAGAAATGCTACATGGATTACATTCACATGTAAGTTCCATGAAGGAAGGTAGGAAGGTTACATGGCATGAAGCCTCAAGATAGCATTTTTGAAAGACTGCTGAATACCAATTTAGTATATAACATGTTGCTGAAAAGCATCAGCAAAACTAAATTATTTTGTAAGATTTGGTTGGGATTCCAAAGTATTTATAGGTAGAATTTAGAGGGACTCTCTTAGTAATGAAGGACATTTGAGTAGGGATTTTAAAAATAACCCATATCTTCCTCACTAGCAAACATCTGGAAAAGAAAAACAGGTAAATTTTTTGTTTCAATATCACAATTTCAACCTGAGACTTTCAGGTCACATCTGTATATTATTTTGCTTTTATACTATGCTTGGTGTCGTAAGATTAAGATTACAGGTCACCAAGCAAAACTTGACAGTGAGCCCTTTTTTCCCTGCTCCATTTCCACTGTCTACTCAGAAGCCACGAGTACATAAATAAGTAATAACATACATGAATAGGTCTCTTAATTTCTCAAATAACACAGGATACTATGTCAATGGTCACACCTATTATTAGTGCCTTTTTGTCCCCTTCCTTGACAAATAAGCATCTTATGTTTGTAGCATCTCATGTAGATATGATTAAACACGTATGTGTCATATATATAATTTCATATGGAGAGATATCTCACATAGAACCTGTTCTCTCACTTCTTCCAGAGAGACAATCAATTGAAGACAACAGGAAAAGGAAAACCAGAACTGATGTGCAGGAATCAAAGGAAAGAGGATTTTACATTTTAATAATCCTTAATGCTAACAGAGCATCGATTTATGCACAATGTATATAAACTACATTTCATTTAGCAAATCAAATATGGCTACCAGAAAAGTAGGCTTAAGAGTTTGTCTTTAAAAAATAAACAGTTAACCCTTGAACAATGTAGGGGTTGGGGGCACCAATCCCCTACAGTTATTCATGAATAACTTCTGACTCCCCCAAAACTTAACAACTAATAGCCTACCGCTGACCAGAAAGCAAGTAGGGGAGAGGGGCAGAGAGAGAAAGAGAGTCCCAAGAAGGCTCCATGCTCAGTGCGGAGCCAGATGTAGGGTTCCATCCCACGACCATGAGATCATGACCTGAGCCAACATCAAGAGTTAGTTGGATGCTCAACCAGCTGAGCCCCCCAGATACCCCTGGTATTCTTAAAATAATGCAAGCTAGAGAAAAGAAAATGTTACTAAGAAAATCATAAGGAAGAGAAAAGACATTTACAGGACTGTAAAAAATCCATGTAAAAGTGGGCCTGTGCAATTCAAACCCATGTTGTTTGAGGGCCAACTGTAGATTTCATTTAAATCTTTGTTAAATTGCTAAAATAGTACAGTGATCATTTGTCCTTTTTCAGTAGTCTGTACACAGCAATTAACTGTACACAGTTAATTGAAACATAAAAAACAACCCTAAGTAGGCTGGACGTGTGAGCATACTTTATATGCTACTGAAAGAATATTTTGTTCATCATCTTAAGGGAGATTAAATATATGGGCAGTTCATCTACAGAGGCAGTCTTTATCAAATCAGTCTTCAGCCTACATTTCTTTGAAAACTAAAGATTTCATGTCTGGAGATCACAAAATTTGAATTTACTACGATAGCCATGGTAAAAATGAATCTATGAATTTTAAGGCTCCAGCTATAATGCAACTAATGCAAATGTTAATGATTAAAAGATGGCCTTTTGACTTTAAAGTTGCTTCCTTCTTCAAATCAATTTAAGATGTACTGAGTGCCCAAAGGGCAATATTATAGTTATATTAGCAACCATATTACTTAAAAAACCTGTCCTTTTCCCTGAAATCAAAATTGTTTCCCATTAAAAATAAACTCAGGGCAGTCAGATGGTTGAGTCGGTTAAGCATCGACTCTTGATTTCCTTTCAGGTCATGATCCCAGGGTTGTGGGATGGATCCCCGCACTGGGTTCCATGCTGAGAGTGGAGCCGGCTTGGCATTCTCTCTCCCCCTCCCTGCCCCTCCCCTGCTCATATTCTTTCATTCTCTTTCTCTCTCTCTCTCTGTAAAAATAAAATTAAAATTAAAAATTTTAATTAAAAAAATAAAAATGAACTTGAAAAAGCAGACCTTCCCAAACCTTCTTCCAAACTGCTGATGGCTGCTTGCAGCTGATCTGGACTGACTGCTTCAAGAGACAGGCCCAGACGAGAGGACTCAGTGACGAGTGGAGGCAGCAGGACTTTGCCGGAGCAGCCTAACAAGCAGACAGTAGCCGGTCTGAGGTTCTGCTGAACAGCTTGCTGCTGCCCAGGATCGTTCACCGGTCAACATTTTCAGATCCAGTTAATTGTTAAAATGGGAATCCTTGGAGGGATTTATTGTTAAAAAAAAAAAAAAGTTGTAGCCTATTTGCATCATTTCAAAGCATGAGAAGAACTTGTTCCTGGCTACGTTAGCATAAGGTGCAGAACATGGTAGAGGAGTATGCAAAGAGGAGGCAGCTAATATGTTTGCAATAATAGTGATCAGGGAAGAAAAGTTAGTAGGGAGATAAATTAGATGAATTAGTCTTCAAACCTTTACAATATTAAAATAGATGTGGCCAACCGTATCATATCCCTAGGGCTGTAGCGTTCATTATCTGAACAAGGGCAACAGCAAGAATGAAACAAGCATACGGCATTGGCGATATTAGCAGAAAAATGTTGAGGGTTAGCTATTTTTATTTTCATGTGTTTGTCATGCATTTGTCTATTTAAGCAATAGGGGGAAATTCACTCACCAATTATTGTTAAAAAACATAAAAACGTGGCAACAGATGATGTCCCATAAAACATGGTGCTGATATTACAAGCCAGAAGATCGGTGTCATTCTGTGTGTTGGGCACTAAAACTGGTGGTAGCAAAAAGCCAACTGCAGTTCCAAGCTGTAAAATAAATAATCCTGTTAAAAGCCATTATTATAAGAGAAAAACAGGACATACTGGCAATTATTACAACTTACAACATAAAGAAGACAGCTAGTGTATTTAAGGTACAAGGTGTAGATCCTAATACATCTTGTTCTAGTGTTAAAGTATAATTGCTGACAAATATCTTTCCTAGTCAACAAACTCCTACTATCTGAATGATTCTGCTGAAAAGATGTGTAACATACAGCTCTTACCCTTTAGATGCTTACAATCAAAAAGGGGAACAAGAGTATGCAGAATAAGGCTGAGAAAAGACGATGTATAGAATGGGAGAAAATATTTGCAAACTGTATATCTAAGAAAGGCCTACTATCCAGAATATTTAGAGAACTCAACAACAAAAAGATAAACATTCAATTCAAAAATGGGCAAAGTACTTGAATACACATGTTTCCAAAGAAATAAAGTGTTCAACAAACACGTGAAAAAAAATGCTCAACATAATTAATTAGTAAAGAAATGCAAATCAACACCATAATGAGATACCACTGCATACCCACAAGGATGGCTATAATTAGCAAACAAATGAGAAACTGGAAAATAACAAACACCGGAAAGATGTGAAAAATTACGACCCTTGTATACTGTTAGTAGGATTGTAAAATAGTGCCACCACTGTGGAAAACAATTCGGCGGTTCCTTAAAAAGTTAAACATAACATTACCACATGACCTAGCAATTCCACTCCTAGATAAATACCCAAAAAACTGAAAACAGGTTCTCAAACAAATATCAAATATTATACATGAATATTTATAGCACCCTATCTGCAATAGCCAGAAGGTAGAACAAACCCATATGTCATCAACAGATGAATGGATAAACAAAATGTGGTATGTCCATTCAATGAAATATTACTCAACCATAAAAAGAATGAAGTACTAATAATGAAAGATGTGTAATATACAGTCATCCACAACATGGATGAATTTTGAAAACATCCTAAGTGAATGAAGCTGGACCTAAAAGGTCACATATTGTATGATCCATTTACATGATACATCTAGGACAGGTGAATCTATAGAGAGAAAAAGCAAGTTAGTGGTTACCAATGGATAAAAGAAACAGGGAATGAGGAGTGACTGCTAACTGGGTATTGGGTCTTCTTTGAGGGGAGATAAAAATGTCTTGGAATTAGAGAGAGGTGATGGTTGTACAACATTGGGAATGTACTAAATGCCACTAAGCTCTAATTTATTTATTTTTTTTTTTTT